GGAAGGAGTATGAGAAGCTGGAGAAGTACCAGGGCCTGAAGGAGGAACTAGAGAGGATATGAAAAGTAAAGGCCAAAGTGGTCCCATAGATGGTAGAAGCACTCAGGGTTGTGACTCCTAAGGTGGGGGAGTGGCTCCAACAGATCCCAGGAACAACATTAGAGCTCTCTGTCCAGCAGAGCACAGTGCTAGGATCAGGTAAGATACTGTGCAGAACCAGGCCTCTGTCAGAGGACCTGAGATTGAGGAAGACACATACCACCCATATGGGTGAGAGTCACTTTGTTTTTTTGATTCAGCTAAAAATTATTTGCATTAAAATTTAAAGGAATCAAATATACAATAACTTTATATGAATATAGTATTTTTATAATGGAGAAGCTAAAACAAACACTGAGGAGAATTATAAAATTCCTTATAAAATCTGCTCAGTCTCAGGGTATAAAATTAATGTTTTAAACAATCAGGTAACAAAATAGCAAAGAGATAATTTCCTGAAGAGAAAGATCAATTCGGTATTTAGAAATATTTAAATAATTATTATTTCCCTTCATTATTATGAAAATGGATTAAGTAAGTTCTTAAAATCACAAAGAACGCTGTCTACTGGTTATTGTCTATTGTTAATTGATCATTTAAAAAAATGAAACAAGGAACTTACTTAAATTGTGATTGTCTTTCTTTTGTCTCTCTTTGGCCAAAGCTCTTGCCTCTGATTCTGTGGGAAATACACATGCTATGCATGTTAATGAAGTAGTTAGAATTAGGAAAATATTACAAGGCAACATTTGCAAAGTAAACTTTGCTATTTCTCTGCTACATTCTACTTCATATATATATATATATATATATATACTGACTGACATGCCTATATACCACCAACACTGCATCACAGCAAAGCCTTCCTGTATATTTCCATGGTCTAACATCATGGATGTTCAATCTGACCTATTGGAGATATAGGTGCAAGTTAAGAGATCCAGAACCATCAAGGCCTGGAGCTAAAGGTAACGAATGTGCGGCAGGAGCACTGCCCTTGTCATTTCTTTACAGTATGGCTAGCTGTCATTAAAGGACCAATTTTAACATTCAGGGATATCCTTAGCGAGAAAACAGAATTTCTGAATGCAAAGGTGGGATTCAAAGACTCGGTCCATCAGGTGAAAAACAAACTAAACAAACCACAGCTTAAAACTAGCATATGAGAAATAGCATTCTAGACTGCTTTTCTGTCCAATGATATACTGGCTCAGCAGCAACTCAGGAGATTCACTGGTCTTTTACACTAGCATAATGCTGTTGGTAAATGAATTTCACCAAGAAATGTGATTTGTGAAATCTCCTTTTTCATAAATGTTACGATGATTCCAAATGTTATATTTACCATTAATGGAAGCCACAGGCCCAGAGATAAATACAGAGGTGGAACTTTTTAGATGGATATCTATTTATTACAGAAATTCAGAGCTGCTATTGCTAGTATCTTTAGCAAGAAGTAGTAGCAAGAAACAGCTTGTAAACTGATTGGGGTCTTTGTCTTATGTGGGTCTGGCATGCTGAAGTGTGCTAATCACTGGAACCTAGTATAGCTGTAATGCTGCCACCTTAAAGGTTAGAAATAATTAATATATCCTTCATGCAGTAACATATTAAAGTAACATTTTCAGTCGAGGCAGCAGCTAACCTGAGGATAATGGGCTGCATTCAGTTAAGCCTCCATCTGTCAGAATATTTTCCATCAGTAGAACAGGAAAGGAAGAGATTCCTCCTTTTTCGTGTACCCCTGTGTACCCTGCACCCTCAAAATCTTCTCCAGAAGGTTGGGAAGCGAGACGGCCAAGTCCTGTTGCACAAGTATAAAAGTCATTTTGTGCAACATTGGATTTTTTCCATTAAAATATTAGGTTTTCTCCAAGGAAGGCATTGCTTTCTGAAGTGACATTCTGGAACAAAGCTAACACCTTTTTTTCTCTAACTACTAACATTAAATTAAAAAATGCTACCCATATGGTTTGTTTACCATTGTTTGAAGGTCAACCATGCAGTAAAACTTCTATACTGGCCATTCCTAATTATATTACAAGTATGGGTAATAAAGGCCTCTTTATTATAAAGGCAAAATAATGAACAAATGCAGCATCTTCCTCAATGAAGCTGCATCAGACACAACGATGCCTTATCCTTGCTGGCTTTGTTTTTTTTTTTCCCCTGTCCCTTCCTTAAAAATGAAAGGCAAATACTATACATTAATGAAAATCTTCTCTGCACTCATGACTTGGCCATCAATTCAAGGATGCTGTTGTGGGTCCATACAATGTGACTGGTACAAGGAACTTTCTCAGAGAACTTGACATTTCACGTTTGAACACAGCATCATTTATTTTCAGGCTACGCTATTTGAACCATAGTGTATATGTGACAACTGAGCTTTAAGTAAAAGAGTAGCCAAAAAGGGGCTTGGTCATCAAGCAAAGCTTCATTTTCCTCTTTGTTATTATACACTTTCTATTTTACCAATTACTTGTTCTGCTCTATATGAAGCTGCTTTACCCAGAATTGGGCTGTTGGTCCACCGAGCTCACTTCTGCCTACACTGAATAACATTTGTGCTTCATTTACCACAGAGAAACAAACCTTCCTGGCCACCAAAGTTTTACTTCTTTTCTTTTTTAGGCTTATGTGGGAATAGCAATCGTGTGGAGGGTGTTCCACAAGACGGCAGTTCTCACCGGTAACCTTGGCTCTTCCTGATCTCCCTTGCCTTCCCTCCCAGCTGGCCTGCTTTCCCTGCCAAGTGCAGAATAACTATGGAGACTTGCTAGAGAGGAGGAAAGACAGCTCCTCTCCCTCAATGTCCATGTGAAGAAGTCTTCACCTTTCCCTGACAGCACCAGTAGAAACCACTGCCCTTGCTCTTCTGAGAGGGCAGAGACTTTGCTGGCCTCGTTTTGGAAGCACAAGAACACTGCAAGAACCATGGTTTTTGAAGCCTGGGAAAGATCCCAGCTTTAATCTTGATTGGTGGGGGGGAGGGCAGGGAGTATATTCTATGGAGAGTCTCAAAGGATATTGTTGGTCAGAGTGGAGATCCCAAGATTAACTGGACCTATCATCTGGTTTAGTATAAGGGAACTTTCAATGAATGAAGAATAGCTCCTTTACAGGCATGAAAGCTAAAGAATCATTCTCAATCGAATGTTCTTGAGAAAAATTGTTGTGAATTATTTGTGGACTCAGGAAATTTTATCTTAAATAAGAACAGAAACAGCTGCTGAAAACAAGAGAAACCCAGGAGACTCATTTGGGGAGCTGAAAAGTGCCTATTTAAAGACTGAACATTAGCCCTTGTTTGAGAAAGGGTGCTCACCTGATGAATTTTAACCCTTCTCTGTTTTTTAAATTTCCTTCCTTGTCCAGTTTGTTCTTTCCTTCTCCTCATTTCTCCCTTTTCTTTTTCCTTTACTTCCCAGGGCAGATGCCCCTTCCCTTTCCCCAGTCTTCCTTTTTCTTACTTCTTTGAGCTTCTGCTGGAAGGAGGGAGGGAAATCTCTGTTTGTGTGCATATGGGAAAGTCAATTAATTTTATAAATGGAAAACTTTATAGGCAATTAATTTTAATCAATAGTTATTAATTCAATGGGGATTTTTTTTTAGAATTCTGGCCCTATATTGTGACTCCTGGCAGATATATCAACACACATTCATATATGCCCAAACAAGTGTGACAATTTATTGGGGAGGGGGGCTATATTACTTTCAGCTGAAATTGGCAATTTTAAATTGAATGTGGGGAAGCTGGTCTTTGCACAGAATTTTTGTCTGTGTTTATCTCCCTCCCCCAGTCATCTTCCTTTCAATAAATATGGTAGATAGTTTTGGGGTATAATCCAGCAGGAGTTCTATATTTCTAGTATTAAATTGCATAAATTCCTTATGTAGTATATTTATTATATTTTTAAAAATACTGTTCTTGTTTACCTGTGAGTTCCCTTTTTATATTAGGAAGGTTAGCAGGACAGGAATTGCTGATATTAAGTCCTGGAGGGGGCAAGCCTTGGTTCCCATACAGGTCCACTAGATTGCCAGAGACAGGTAACTGCAAAGGACAAGAGATGAAATGTTATTCTGAGTGTTCCCTGCAAAAACCCTTGATAGTTTTGAAGTTGAAGTTCAGAGTAAAGAGCCACTGACATTTGTGTACCATTACTTGCCTATTAATATAGCTCCACTAGAAGTGAAGGTTACATCTGGTTGCCGATGTCTGAAGTGTGCTTCAGAGAATGTAGCTAACAGACTATTATAGGGTTTGAGTTGGTCAGAGTTTAATCCTACAGTTCTCTAATAAATTCAATTTTCCAACAGAGGGTCCATTTCAAAGTGCAAGTTTAGATGTTTAAAACTCTCAACAGCCTCAGGCCAAAAGGATCCTAAAGCCTATTTTATTCTACAGGAATATTTACTGTAGAAATGGGTATTAACATGATTTCTGAAGACCTTAGTTTGTATTCTCTCTTTCTCCTTAGTATGGTACATAAGACACAATTTCCCTAGAGGCACTAAAACTATGGAATTCTGTTCGCAGGAATGATCACTTTTTAAAAATAGTATTTAGCTTTAGACACAAAATGAAACCAGATGATTTTTAGAAAATTTTCAGACCTAATTAATTTTAAAGTTCTGGGTGGCTTTGTATATCCACATTATAGATCAAATGGCTAAATATAAGAGTATTAAACAAATAAAAAATTTAAACAACTTCTCTATGGTTACTTGCAAGTCTAAAAGAAATCAGTGGAGTTTAATCTTTGGTAAATATAGCTAAGAACACTTGGGAAAAAGTACAATAACTGGTTCTTAATATAACATATAGTTTGCTTGAAAATCTGAACGCTCTACTTAAAAAATAAACAGGAAGAATGAATAAACCAGTTTTGAAGATATGTGTACTCTTACCAAGTCAAAGCAGATAAAACACATATCACTTGTGACCCTTATATAAAGGTCCATTGCAATAATTTATAGCATCTAATTTATTGCATCTCATGAAAATGAGATTTTCTGTGAATATCTCAATAGCAAGTGAGACAGCTATCACTGTTACAGACTGAGTCTTCTCTTTGCTATTGAACAATAGCATCCTTATTACCTCTGTAGAACTATTCATGGGCTGCAAGGAGACATCTTCTTTTATTGGGATTTTGCTTATCTTCTGCTTTAGGGGGCCTCACATCTGACTAGAGCAAAGAATTCTGAGGATAGGCACTAATATTACCAAAGCAAGGTTAATGTGTTTCAATATGATATCTGCCAACATTATTCTTACATGGATTTTGGCTATGGATTTCAAGTGGATAAATGTAGTGGAATTGTGTCTCACTTATTTTTATACGTAGGGCAATCTTCTAATTAACAGACAACTTGTAGGGTTAACTGTTCTGGCATAGTCCCAAGTAAGAAACTTCAAGAAATACCAAGGAACTATACTGTAGTTGTCTAAGAAGATGCTGTCCTCAAAAACTCATGATACATTTTTGGGAAATGCCCCTTGATTTGGGAAATATCCAAGCACACTTTCTGTGCTCTGCTCTTCTGAATTCTGGAGCGATTGTAACAAACCTGATCTGGACTTTGAATAGCAGATAAGGTAAATCATAGATTTTAATCAGAGGTTCTTGATGCAGACAGAAACTTACTCTCTTAGCAAAGATAAACTGGTACACACACGTGTATGCACAGACACACACACATTCATACAGTAAGACTGAGCAATGATTCAACTTGATGATTTGATTGGAAGGAAACTGAATTGACACTTTGGAGTTGAATCTTCAAGTAAACTGAGATATCAAGTTGGATCAGTTTCTTTCAAATCCTGAGAGATTCAAAAGGACTTGGAGATAAAATGGCTTTGCAGAGACTCAAGCACTGCTTGAAATCTTTCCTTCCAAATATAGACAAAATAGCATGATCAGCTTTCTGATATTGATATGAATAACCAACTAGTGAATTTTATGACTCCTGCAAAACTTGCCTTTCAGACCATGTGGAGGAGGGCTGTGCTCTATTGTTTTGGTCTTAGGAGGAAAGACTGTTTGTAGAGAGAAAAAAACCTCAGATTTATTGTAGTAGCCTTTTTTTTTTTCTTGTTGTCTTACTTGGTATTGAGTGAGTCTTCTTCAGTGCATTAGTAATTCTGAGATAATATGCTTGCTGTCAGACTAATGCTATCATGCAAATTATTGTTATCATGGTGTATTATAGTCACAGTATATGATTTTTGAGTTTTTAAAAAATTGGTGTACAAACACTATGAACTCTGTCACTTCTCCAAAAAGGCTAATGTTGCCAATGAGCTTTGTCATAAAGTCTCTCAACTCAAAAAGCCAGTGCCAGATGAAAGTTGACTCTTTGATTATAAGTAACAGATTTCTTTTTAAAAGATTTTTGAAAGTTGGAGTCAGATTCTTTCTGTATTGATTCAGCACAATTTCACAGTCCTAGACCATAGAGACTGGTCTAAATTTTCACCATTGCCTTTAAAAGGTGAATGCAAAGTAATATAATAGAGAGACCTCTGAAGCTATCCTGCTGACATTCAGCAGGATTAGGGTATTTTCATCCCATCTTGTCAAAATATGAAGCTACAGGAATTTAGATGCTTCCCCATTACATCTTACAGTCATTTTTTTCCCAAAACAAATCATGTTGACTTTGAATCTCAAATTTCCAATTTGAATCGAATCACAGTGGATTTTCAACTCTCACAGTGGATCTTGGCTGTTTTCTATACCCCTAAAAAACAAGTTATTTTCCCATAAATGTTTATCTCCTTTTTCAAATTATTGATGAAAGGATAATAACATTACTAATGAAGGTGATTTCTATATATATTCTAGAATATAATGAAGGCAAAAAAACAAAAACCAAAACCAAATGGCCTTGTGAAAAAGAGGTACTAAGTCATACAAGAGCAAAAACTAAGAGACAACTGAAAACAAAATACCGTATTTGCAATTTGTAGAGCAGGATCCATTAAACCAAAGATTTCTTCATTATAACTTGATTCCAAACTGATTATGTCATCAATTACATCGTCCATCTGCAACAAAAGGTAAGGAATATCAGGAAATGTGGATTAGGACAAAATACATTAAAACACATCGAATACTCAGAAAGGGAAGACCACCTGGACATATGAGGTAGGTCTCTATTTCTAGCTGTTGTTCATATTTATAATTTTGTTATATTGTTTTTATTCTGGTTTTAAAATATTGTTAGCCACCCAGAGACATGTATTTGAGATGGGCAGCCATATAAATTCAATAAATAAATAAATATTCCAATTTATTTATTTATTTAGGAGCCGGGGGACCTATGCCTCTAAATCTTCTTTGACCACCCCCAATTTTTTTGTCTTAAAAATGCTATCTCCTACTTCAGGACTATCTGGACCCACCCTAAATTTTAAGATTGGTTATAGATCTATTGTGCATTATATCATGTTAAGGGAAGAGCAATGAGAAAAGAATGGTTCCAAACTCAGGTTCAGCTTCAAAAATATATCTGCTATCTTCTACTTGGGTTAACAAACTACACATGCTCAAGTCAGCCATACAGTTGAGGAAGTAAGGAAGCAAAATTCATTTTGCAAACTTTAAGAAAAAAGAAGTGAGGATGAAACCAGAATCATAAGGCGAAATCTCCAAAAGTAATGCAATAGAGTATGGGACAGCCTGAAAGGTATACAGATGCTTTCTACCCTTGGTGTGGGCATTTGCTCACATCTTGAAAGCTTATAAACAGGGAACTAGTTTAAATGCTATGTGACTGTATATAATTGTTGTACAAAATGTCTTAAATAACTACAGGCACATTTTCAGATGCTGACATTAATAGAGTTATATACAGAATACTTTTCCCAGAAATACCAATCTCAGAGTACCCTAACTGTGAAGCTATAACAGCCAGATTGTAGTATGAACAGAAACTTTTGGTTTCTGATGGAGTCATCTGGAAAATGTTACTGCTCGAAAGGAATTATATTAGTGATTTGAAGAATCTGGCATTCCTATAAAGCAAACAATTTGTTGACTATTTAAAAAAATGTACTTACATGTTTTATTGACGGAACACAAGCTTATTTAACAATTGGAATAGAGCTTTATACATGTGTATTCAGATAAGATCAAAGACCATTGAGTTAATAATGGGTTTACTTCCTAGTGAAAGACCTCAGAACTGGAACCACAGTCAGAATTCTACCACTCCAAACTGCAGGCTTCATTTGCACATATCTGCAATGTCAGTACTGATCTTCCACAAAGCTCTACATGTTATAGCTTTCCATAAGATCAGTGGCTTTTCCATTTGCAATATACGTATGCACATATACTGACTTCAGCTGGAGTTCACTGCAAGGAATTATTTACTGAAGTCTATGTATTTTAATTTCTAGCATCCAGAATAGCATAGCTTTGAATTCTCAAGCACACACCAGTCCTGGCTCCCTCCCTCCCTATCCACCCATCTTTTTTTTTTAAAAAAAAAAAAAGCTCAGTTGCTTACAAGCACAATTTTCACAATAGGAAAGATGTTACAATGCAGTTCCTGAAAAATGTATCCCTAAAATACTTAACTCAGAGAGGAACCTTCCATGTTTAAAGTATGAATAGATGACCAAATCAGATACAAATTCCATGTATGTTTCTTATGTTACTGCTGTACCACAAATGTGGAATTCTGTTAGTAGACGATGCCATCTATAGTATGCAACTGTTCTGAGTTTTCTCACTACTTCATCCGCTATGCACAATACTTATTAATTGGATAAAAGCATAACAAAATATGCCAGTTGAAATTCTTAGTTGATCCACTGCCAGTTTCACAATGAATATATCTGTATGATATATGTATTTCCAAATGTGTAACTGCTATATTGCTTTCCAACTACATTTTAGGTACACTAGCAAAATGAATGCCTGGAATGGACTTGGAGGTCTTAATAATCACATAAAGACTCTATTAGTTGATAAGCAAAGCTCAGTGGGAAAGTCAGACTTGCAGCCTTTTTCATACCTGCATACATGACACTCGAGAATGTGTATTCAGAGTCCGGCATTCATTTTCGGCCCTGTTGCTTTGCTCTTCAAATTTATAAAAGCCCTGTGACCATGAAAAAAGAGAAGAAATATAAGAAGAAAAAGTCAGCATGGGATATAGTGCAACACCAGGAGACAATATTTAAATAACCAAGAGGCCATTAGAACAGTAAGTCAGCCCAGTAGTAATAGAATAAGTTTTAAATAATGAAAACTAACAGATGTGTAGGTACTGTAGTGGTAGTTGTTGAATTAAATAAATAGCTAATTAAGCATTTATGGCAGAATTACCTGCTGTACCCATAATGGTACAATTTAAAAAACCATTTGATTCCACAAATTAATATTTTAAAAATCCTGTAAAAATCCATGCAATCTAGCCTTCTTGGTCCCTCAGCAGTCAACCAGAAGGTCATTTGTTAGGCTGTGAAACCAGGTAGTCCTCACAACTTGTCTGCCAATAGTTTTCAGTGGCATGGAGTTCCATACCCTGACAGACCAGTTGTTCATTCATAGTTTAATCCCTGTTAAAGCCAACTACACTAACCACATCCTGTGGTGGAGAATTATGCACATTTATTACACTTCAAAGGTCACATCATGTGTACTCATTCCTATAGCAGAGTTTCCTGCAGCTAACAATAGTCTTTTTTCATTTTTAACCCAAACAAGTGTTTCAATTCTCCTTATGCAAGCTGTTGTGCAAGTGTTTTCATAACACATTAGTACTACTTACAGTACATCAATTGTACTGCTAGATGTAAGGTAACAGAACATTACCTTGGACTGTAGTCTTTCCATTAGTGTTGCACTGTTTCACTGTATAGAATCTTATGTAGTACTCTATTTTTTTGCTCTGTCTTGAACCTACCATTAAGAAAGTTCAAATCCTCATTTTTATAAATCTATAAGTCCTCCCCCTACTTTAGTGATATCTTTGTGACAATATGTCCTGGCAAATAGAAGGGGTAGAAATGGAAGCAGTAACAGACTTCATTTATTTGGGCTCCAAGATCACCGCAGACGGGGACTGCAG